TTAAAGATAAATAAATAAAAAATTTCGCGATCATTTTAGAAAATTGGTCAAGAAGACACATGTTAGACGCTGTAACGTAAAAAGATTTTAGAATCTTTCTTGAATATTTGCATACGTCAACATGCCTTTCTTAAAAGAGGATTTCTTGATATATACTTTTTCTTCTTCCTCTCTCGAGACTTGGAGCGATGGTTTTATTCAAACAAATTTTACTTTCGACGTCGTAACGTCTACGTATATTCTATCTGAACGTGATATATAAAACGGCTCGGAGCATACATAAAACACGATTACTGCGTTCATCAACTGTGAGCGTTGGCGAATCAGCAACAGGTTGCCTATTTGCCTCAGTAAACTTTATACCACTGGAAGGCTTACTCAAATGGAAGCTCGAAAGAAAGGGGAAAGAATGTATACAAGCCTATCTTCTTTTTCTATTGTTTCACTATTCGACTTGAAACATTAGTTTAAAGACAGTTGTATTTATAATTCTATGTACCTTTTTTAAACGGTTATAAGATATCAGATATATTTAGGAACTTATATAAAATAACAATAAAAATACATGAAAAATATATACATGAATTAATACGTGTTATTTGAAAATATGTTAAAGATTACTGATGTTAGTAAAGTTATAGGATATTTTAATGGCTCTTGGATGATCAATATATATTATTGAATTCGATATTACACAATATTTCTTTGATCATCAGGGAACAATGTTGAGGGTTTTCTGTGGTACCTTTTGTGAATAAAAAGATCTTTGAAATATTGGTCGTATCCACAGAGTGACCAATATTTTACAAGTTCTACAATGTATTTCAAAGAACTTTTTATTCGCATTGTACCCCTCAAATCCTCAACATTATCCCCAGAGGATTAATAAAATATTGCGCAGTATCAAATATTGTTTAATAATGTTGATTGTTTAAGAGCTGCTAACATATATAACTTTATATTTATAACTTTACTGAGTAAAATTGTTGAAACTCTAAATTAATTTTTAAATGATTGAAACATAACTGAAAGCATAATGATGTGTATACAAATTTTATTAACTTTATTTATACCAATATTTCCTTAAATATAGCGCTATTATCATAACAATTTTCGGTTTCCGAAGAAAAATATATAAGAAAATGTAGAAATAAAACAATCCCCGAATAGTTGCGAGAAAAGTTCTACCTTCCTTTGTCCGAATTGCTTTGAAAGAACCTTGTATAAAATTTTAATATGTTATTTAAGTAATGGAACGCGAAATTTTTGGACGATATGAGTTTCTTCCTCTTCCTCACAAAGAAGAGAAGATATCGAATTTATTCGTCCTTTGTCCACAATAGAAATTTTTGCTCCGACCTTGTTCTATTCGGCCATTTATCCATTATCCATTTGAACAAAACAAAGATCTATCTAGAAGTCTGAACACGGGTACATTGACGTAACGCAATTTCTTTTCTCTTTTCGAATTCGTTTGTAGGGTTTTCTCCTGTTCTTATCAATAACTTCTATTTACTTGATATGTCTTTTGGATCACGTTTCCTATTACGACGCTTCGCTTTCCTTTCTCGGATGACTCTTATCGTTTCTAACATTCCTCTCGTATGTACAAATTAATTCATCTTACACGCGTCTCGATGGAATATATTTATGTTATGATTATAAATTATAATACATCGTCTGGGCACAGTATGATATCAAAAAGCGCGCAAAATAACATGATGTCTATTTGATAAAAAAATTTTATTACGTCTCGAAAGTACAGAAACCATTTTATACTGTTTTTTAAAATACGCAAAAGAAGCTATTACTTTGAAAAAAAAAATATTTAAATGAATTGAAACTGAAATAAATCTAATTGGTACTCTCTAAACCTTTTAGAATCAGGGCTGGGCATGTATTTAAAATACTTTTATTTGAGAAACATTTGATAAGATTATTGTATTTTGTATTTTGTATTTCTGCGGGGTACATAAAAATATTTTGTATTTCATGAGAGCATATAAAAATATTTTATATTTTGTACTTCAGTATTAATAACGAAAAACTGAAAGTATATTTTATATTTTGTATTTCAAATACTAAAATTGATAATAAATTTTATTATTTGAGTTACAAAATATAAAAAACTTGCAATCTTTCGATTTTAAATACAAAATCTTTTATGAGCTCCTTTTGAAATACAAAATTTTAATAATATTTCGATCACTAAAGCTTTGTATAAGATATGTATAAAATATTTATATAACATTTCAAAAAATTAATAGTAATAAATATTCTGCGACTCTCAGTAGCCTTATAATCTTATTGTTATTTATTATTTTAATAAATATTTATCATAAATATTCTGTGCTGTCTGGGAAGGGATGTGTGAGTGATTTGAAGATTATTTATTGCTGACGAAGACTTTAAAGTGTGTGAGTCAAATATTATTTTTCATGAACATTAATTTTTTATTCATTTGACTTTATAAAATTAGACTGACTTTTTGCAAAGGCGCTCTTATTATTGCGCCATACTCATTGATCTGTTGTTTTTAAATCAATACATTTTTAAAATTAAATGTAAAATTAATGTAAAATTAAACAATTTATAATGTATAATTAATTTTGAAGGTCAAAATTGAGGGGATATAATGTAATTATGAGACAGAGTCCCCGAAATCATTATAAGATTTGCATGAAATCGCAATGTATAATCCGATAATTACATAACAACTATGAGAAATAGTCCCAAGCAAAACCACAAGTCATTATGATATCAAAATTATGTCAAAATGACTTCAAAATGATCATTAAAAGTCATTTTTCAATCACTTCCGATTCATTTTAGTATCATTTTAATATTATCGTGACTTATTCTGCTTGAGGTTGTGTGATATTAGATAAAATCAATTATTTTACCAAATGACTTCATACATGGTGAAGAAAATTATTTTAAGGAAAGGAAAATAATAATAAGTTTTTTGGACTGCTTCACGTATCTTTTACAAACGTTTTATACATTCTATTTAATTTTTTACTGATGTACAAGGATGTCGATTAATTATATTGTGATGTTATTGGTTGACATTATTTTAGTATCATGGCTACATCTGAAGTTCAAGGCTAATCACTCTTAGTATTGTGCTCTCACGTTATGTGGTAAGATATGTCAATCGACTTATCGAGTATTATTACGATATTTTCCTTCTGAATTGCGTGAACATCGATATGTGAATATGACATCTAATTCTCAATAGGTCCCCGCTATCGTATTAAGGAAAGCGTACGCTTAGGAAGTCGGGCCGCGCAACACTCGTGGGTCAATATATGCGGATATTCACTTCATGATACAATACAACTGTGAAGCAGAAAATAGAACAGGGATCCCAGAAAGTGGCTTGATGGGATTCATGATTTAAATGTCTGTCACGTCTGCTTCATTTGCTCACAGGAACTCTTGCTCTTCGAATTTTATGTTTCTATATTCTGCAAACTCATTACATATATTTAATTGTTATCTATATTTCTACCAGATTACTATTTGATGAAGAAGCAAATCAATTTTGCTGCAATAACAATTGTTCCATGTTACAGTAAAATTTCCTTTCTTAAATCAGCAAATAGAATCATTTTTCTGAGTTTTACTCATAGAAATATGTTAACTTGTTAAAGCAAACAGTCTATCATCAGAAAATGCAATTTTATTATTACATGTAATTATTGTTGATAGATTGTTGTCATAAAAATAAAAAAAAAATTAGAAAATACATAAAGAAGATAGAATAAATTTGTTGTTGGAGCAAAGCAATTTGGAAGTCTAACCCTTACGAAAAAATAAACTCTTAGCGGTCCGAAATAATACTTAAATTGAGTATATTAACTCCCAAATAAACCTCCAATTTGAGGATGAACACTCGATTTGAGTGTCACTTTGGATCCACCAAGAGTGTATTTTTTCGTAAAGGAAGAAAGTTATTTCAGTGAATAAAATAATTCTTTTTAAGAAACTTTTGATAGCAATTAATTTATTGCAACAGTTAAATACTACATTTTAACTCTAATTCCCTTTGATTTCATTGCTATTTGCAAAACTGAAGGATGTTAGTGATCGGCGTGAACAACATTATAGAGTAAAGTCGTCTGTTATGAGATAAACTCTTAATATGAGACAGCGGGGTTTCTGTGAAACTAATATGCGCATGTGGTCGGTTCCATCATGAACTTATTACTCTTAGGGTAAAATCTATTTAGTGTAGAAAATTCATTATTAGATCATGCATATAGTTGTTGCGAAAAAAGATTTGTGAAATTAAATGTATAATATAATATCTGTAAATTTAGATATTGTGAAATTAGAAATTTTATCGAGATGAATCTTTAATAATTGAAAATTATTATATAATAAATAAATATTCGGTAATAAATTCTACACAGCGATAGAGCAAAAATTAATAGAAAAATATAGGATGTGATGATTGGCTTAATTGTAAAAATTAGGTTTAGATGGTAATTGTGAAACTGTAAGGTGTGGGGCTTAAAATATAAGATACTTTTAATTTCTAAAAATTAAGAAATTAAAATTTTATTTTTTTTCTGACGGTTTTATTTTATAATAAGTATATAAGTTTGATATATTAATTGTAATTGATTTCTAGTCTTAGGATTATTCTGTTTTTAAAATATAAAGTCATCGAAAAATTATGCAATTACTAGATATAATTAAGATTGAAAGCTTTTCATAATTTTTTTCTTCATTTCCTATTATAAAATATCATCTTATATAAAGAAACCCTTGTGTCTCACATTAGAAACATTTTTTTAATTAATAAAATTGACAATTTTGATAAAAATCTTTATATACAACAAAGTATAGTTATTATCGATTGCTAACTTTTGGCGATAAAACTTGATTATATTTCCTATAACTTTGAAATAGAAGTTAAAAGTTAAATAAATTACAAGCCTTTAAAAAAAGGTATTTCATATTAGGTATCTTTATTCTATTCTTCCTTACAGCCCGAAAATGATGAGTTCGACGATAATGATCCTCGTATCCGTGACAACTATGGCAATCCTTTCCGGCGAAGCTCTCGCCGGGTCGCCTGGTATTTCATGCAACCCAGGATTTCTTGACGAACTTCCACCTAGACTCCGTAAAATCTGCATGGCCTTCGCCAGAATATGGGACGTTAGGGATATGAATGACTTCATTGACGACAAAGGTAATCGCCTGTCTAAGAGTGGGATTTCATTTATGTGTTTTTGTCGTATGACAATTATATGCAGGACAGAAAGATCCTCGGATCTCTCTATCCTATAGCCAATCAACAGGCTTGAAAAATTTGTCGTACGACAAAAACGCACAAATAAAAGTCCACCCTTACTGAATCATTCGTTTTATCGCTACGTGCCGTTAAAGGCATTTTAATTTATTTGAATGAATAAAAAGCGAATGTCACGCGATTGCGCACGAACAACACGTGCTTCTTCCTGATCTTTTTGCTATTACTGCTTAATTAATTTATATTATCGCCACTCGAAAACTTTGTCAGTATATATAATTAATTTTAAATTCTGCGCCTGAACATCACCTAAGGAGAATGTAATTGTGAAATAGTGTCTCTGAAATCATTACAAAATCTCTATGTAATCATTTTACAATCAGATAATTATGAAGTCTCAAAAATCTTTCATGTAGAATAATCAGAAATTATAAGTCATATGTAATCAGTAGAAATTATTTTGAATTTCTGTGCAATTACTGGAAATCATGTGTAATCACCATAAAGTCTATAATGAAATTGTATACGATTATCATAAAATTTAAATCTGAAATGAATGTATAAATAATTCTAAGTAATAATAATAAGCTAACAAAACTAGAGCTTCTCAAGAAATTGAATTTAGTTTTTCATACTTTTCAAGGCTTAAAGTAGAATGAGATATCTACGCACCTCATTTTATTTTAAACAGGCCCTGAAAAATATGACGAATTAATTAGAAATTGTCTAAGCGGTGTTATTTCTCAATCTCTTATTTCAAGATCTCTAAGCAGAAAACGTAAACAATATGCAGCCTTTTTTATACAGATGACGCACATTCGGTTGCATTTCTTTTTACGTATAAGATTCTAGGAGTGCATTCCGAATTTGTTGTTTACATTCTGCTACATTAGAATTATATTAAGTGACTACGTCATAATGGTTTTAATCAAATAAAAACATTTGCAATTACTAGAAATCCGATAATTGTGCAATCATGAGAAATCATTATATAATCGGATGAAATCGTTTATTTTACTAAGTGACTTTATATATGTAATGAAGAAAATTATTTGCAATTAGATGAAATCATTTACAATCAGATGAAATCGTATGACATCAAACGAAATCATATAATCTGTGGGATATTTCAGTTCGTGGTTACCCCTTCGATACTATCCCATATACTGCGAAGGACTGATTGCGATAGGGATAATTATGCACGATTTGTGTTTGTATTGTTTCAGAATACCGGGAGAACTTACCGCGATACGACAGCGCTGTCAAGAGACAAGACGTTGATCATATTTTCTTGCGCTTTGGAAAACGACGTTAGAACCAGGCATTACACTCTGCTCTCTATTCGCAAGCGAATAGATAAACGATTCGAGTTACCTTTAAGTTTCTCATTCGATCATTCCGTCGTCTAGAGAACTCAGCGCGTCTACGGAAAATGTAAAAAAAAAGGGAAAAAAATGAAAAGAGTAAGAGCAACATTTCACCGAAAAATGATCTCGTTAACATCGTTAATGGTTTAATAATTTTCATTTTTATTTTTGCTGTATACAAACAGCATTTAAGAGATCAAATTGATCCTCTCGAGCGCTCTGAATCGTCTCTGCGTGAAAGTAAGTATATCTTGTTAAATATATGGATTTTATGCGCGTTAAAGTAATTAGTTTTGCTCTCTTTGTTTGACAAAAGCGAAAACTTTAAAGGAACTTTAATTAACAATTAAACATATATTATATTACAGCACTGATTAACAGCTATTATTCCGTTAGCAGAACAAAAATTTCACATTATAAGATAATTTTGTTACAAGATAATTTTGATAATATAAATAATTTTTCTTTGAACACTTTAATATCCCGACATGTTGGAGCACTGAAAATATAATCATGTAACGCTCGAGAAAGAATAATTAGATAGTTACGAAAATAAAAACGAATTTCACGATATTTCATTCTCTTTGTTGATCATATATAATTTTATGAGTAATGTCAAATGTCAACTGTTAAATATTAAATCTTCGAAAACTGAAGCTACTCTTAATTCTATATGTTGCCACATCATAAATAAAGAGTCTATCGCAATGATGTACAACCATTTTAATCTATGCTGTATCACACTGTGAATGTACCGAATTTACTAATTACTCGTCTATTAATTAATCAATTAATTACTAATGCACTACCTTTAACTATTAGATTATAGGTCAGATTAACAGTCATTTTAACAGTGTAAGTACGTAGGAACGTTGTGTCGTATCGATTTTTGCGCCAACTACTATTTTCAATTAACTCTCATCTTCGCGTCGCTTGTAAGATGATGATCCTTCATGTGAAAGTAAAGAATGTTATGCGTCTTCGCGTGCCATTTATCTTAAAAAATCAAGCATTTTACGCCTTGTAATGCGATCAGTAAGTGACACGAACAATTAGTCCGAACGCAAGATTGAATTAAACGTAAATTAAATTTATTCAAATTAATTTCCGAAACATGTATTAGTAATATCTCAAAATGCGGGCTCGTGTTCGTTATTTAATTTAATTTCGTTAATCCAAATGAGATTTCCTTGATTATATTTCAATGATTACCTGACAGCACAGAATATTTATGATAAATATTTATCAATATATTCATTTTTTAAATGTTACATAGAATTTCATACATATTTTATATAAAGCTTTATTTTGGAAATATTGTTAAAATATAGATTAAATATTTTCATTGTGTGATATTTATAATAAACATAAATCAATATCTTTAATAAGTATTTTTTTACTTGGATTATATATATGTCTCATTAAATATTTTTTTAGCATTTACAATATATATAAATACAGTATATATTTCATAATATTTATAATAAATATTTATAATCTGTGTGCAATCCACCAAAAATATCTACAAAATATTTAGAATAAATATTTATAATTTATTTTGTAAATATTTTATGAATATTACGTGCTGTTTGGGAATCTATAGAACTATTTGGTAAACAGAATTGGAGAGAGAGCCAGATCCACAACATTATTTTTTCTTGATAAGAAAACGAAAGGAATTACTACTGCATTTGCATCTTTTTGAATTTCGTTTTATTTAATACTTTATTGAAATACATCATAAGCGTTAAATGTAAAAATGTTATTAAAATAAATTATTCTTGAGCGTTTCAAATGAATTTTCGTAAAAAATTAATTTTCAGTAGAAAAATATCAAAAAGAAATTACTGCTATATTTGTAATTTTTTTAATTTCATTTTATTGAATATTTTGTTGAATATTATATTATTAAGAATCCAAAGTTCTATTAAAATTATTCTTGAGCAACGTTTTTTGTAAATGATGCTGAATGGATTCTTATTAGCGACTTATTATAGATCGACTCTGAGTTTGATAATGTTTACTTTCCAAATTTTTTGGAGTAGAATCTCATTCTAAAGAATGAAAATTGAGTCAGTTGAAAAAGAGTGGCTTAACTTTTAGTCTTTAGGAATGAGATCTTACTTTTCAGAGTAATAATTCACTCTAAAAGTTTTATAGAGTAGATGTTTGCGTATCGATGCATTCGGGACAGCTTTGTTTATCGAAAAGGACGAAGATACAAATGAATGTTGTACTGCAGTTTCAATAAGTAAACCTTAAAATCAAATACTAAACAGCTAACTAAAATGTATGCTCTGCATTATCTGTCCCGATGTAACTGTCGAGACGGCACGTTCAGTTCCGATCCTTACAATCGCCATCGATCGCAAGATTATCCGATTATTCTCCAACTGTCTTGCCAACGTACGTGCCGGACCAAAGGTCCCTGTCCTAAGAGATCGCATTGTTTCCAACGTCTCTACGTCTTACGTCGTCGGATATATTCGCAGCTCGTTATGGATGTGTTAAGTATCACTCATGGAACGGATAAAACAGTAAGATATTGCTGATGCGACGCGTGCTAATACATTCATTGCGAAATAATAATATATTTATTATATATAACAGATAAATATATATACGCATATAAAGTGATTCTCTCAGAATGCTTTGTCGTTTATTATACACTACGCAACTGCACCATCCTTCGTCTTTCACTCTCTTTCTTTCTACATATTTGCTCTTTTGTTCACAATATTATGAATCTATTGTATACGGTATGAAATATTCCAAGCTCTCTAAATTACAATATCAAAGCGGTCGAGATTGCACTCCACCAGAAAATCGTCTGCTTGCGCAATGCATCTATATTTCGTCTCGATTACGTGAACTTAAGATTCTGAAGGAATCGGTATGAATATGCAATAGTATTTTTACGTGCAACTCGAATAACATAAAATGTTTTTATCAACGTAATTTATATCATAGAATATCACGTTCTTTGCTGAAAAAGAATTTGAGAAGAAACAAGGAAGAAGAAGGAAGAAGATGTTATGAGAGAGACTAACTTGATCCAAGCTCGATTTCCGGCGACAGGTGAATCTTGCGGAAATCGAGTTGTAAGAGAAAAGTACGAGAATGGTCGGAGCAGATCATGTCAACGAGAAGAGAATAGAGGTAGGCGACAAGTTAAGCGATGGTAGGTTTTTGTATGGTATAATAAGAAATAAAGTATCCCATTTTCGAGGATGTGCAGTCGTCCAACGTGGCGACTGTTCTTCAGCCAATCAAAATATTGTTTCAAATTGAATTTAAAAAAAGAATAAAAAAAAGAGAAAAAAGTAACATGATTACTACCGACTACTACCATGTGTTATAGGTGCATTAGAAGAGTGTTTCGAATGATTTAACAGTACGGGCACTATACTGACACGAAGTTTTTTGAATTTTTATTTAGCTACAGCAGATAGAATTTCATTTTTGTTTGTAGATTTGTTTATATATTTTTATCAACACTGTATTTGAATTTAATGCTAACTTTCGGAAAATACTTGATTTGTTGTTTTATTAGTCTGCCACCATTAAGACATGCAATGGAATATCTTCTCAGACAGCACACAATATTTATAAAATACTTACAAAATATTTGTAAATATTTATAAAACTTATTTGAATTTAGTAAACATTTTGTAATCTTAAATTGCACAGATTACAAACATTTATTATAAATATTATAAAATATTTATTATAAATGTTATAGTAAATGGCTAAATATGCTATAGAAATACTTAATAAGACATCATAATCTAAGTATAAGATACTTACTAAAATATTTATTTATTACTTAAAATATTTAGTCAATATTTCAATAATATTTCTAATAATAAAACTTTGTATAAGATATGTATAAAATATTCATATAACATTTCAAAAAATTAATAATAATAAATATTTATCATAAATATTTTGTGTTATCTGGGTATATATTCTTATACCACGAGTTATTGCGACATCTCGCATAAAAGGCGTCACGTTGCCACGTGATCGATTACGTTTAACAAAGTAAGTCACTTTGTTCTCAGAGAATCGCTTCCGTTATTCTCCTTTCTTCTTTTTTCCCATTTTTTTCTTTATTCGTCTAATACGTTTACGCGCACGTCACGTAAGTGGTCTCGACTTGTAAAACACAAGAAAATATTGCTGCATTTCTACCAACGCTAATATTTTCTGAGGACTTATCTTGTGTAATGTTTTATTTTTGCTGCCTTTCCGTATATTGTCTCACCGTATGTTCATTGCGGATATTTTAAATTTCCGCGTCTCGTGCAGACGTCGCCGTCATCGGTCTTATTTTCCGCGGTCCACACCTTACAATACGGACGGACATCCCTGTTTAGCAATTTAGAGAATACTGCATATGACGTTTCGAGAAATGTGTATTTTCCGCACTAAATGAAAATAAGTTAAGAATTTATTTAGTTTTTATTTATTTTCTCGAACTAACATTATAAAAATAATTGCGAGTATTAAAGGAAACAAACAGGAAACAGCTGTAATCTCTCTCTCTCTCTCTCTCTCTCTCTCTCTCTCTCTCGTTAAGCGCAAAAATATATTTCGCTCATGCGAGAATTCAATTAAGTTTACGAGAACGAACTGAACATATGGATTAATACAATTAAATGCGGATCGCAAATTGTGCGAAAACGCGAAATTGTGGAAAAATCAATATGGGATATATTTTGGCCGAAAAATCCATCAAATAAGTCAAGGATTAAGGCAATGTATATTAAGAGAAAAAAAACGCAACTGAATGGGGACATAAAACACAGAAAGATATTACGCTACAATTGGGTGCAAATATCCGTCAAATAAGTGAGAGAAGGGAACATTCTTAGAGAACAAGATTGCCGAAATTAAACCGGTTCCTAAATTACACTGACCTAGAAATTTAATTATTGTATTTATACATCTTCTTATGGATTATTTTTTGGAGAGAATGATATATAGTATTATAACTGCTGCATTATATATTCATGTGATGAAACGTAGTAGGAATATATTACATAAATAAAAAGATCATAGTAGGAATATATTTACATAAATAAAAAGATCGTGATAGCGTTGCAGTTTTTATATTTCATAGCAGAATTGCAGAAAATATATACTTAAATAGTTATGTTTTAATAGTTTATTGTTTTTATATTTTTTTATTATAATAATAATAACGACTTTATTGAGTGCAACTATTAATATTAAAAATACAAAATAAAATATTATATTAGAATAAATAACATATTAATAAAATTAAAAATTTTTTTACGTTATTATTTAGGTTAAATACATAAAGTGTTACAACATGTTTCTAAATTACATCACGATTCTTCTAAATCGCACGTTGCCTAACAGTCTTTTTTACATTTCTTATATTTTTATTCCATTTATAATTATGTAAAACTCTATATATATATATTGTAAACTTGCAAAGTGTTTTTCTTTCACATAGAAACTCCTCAAAATTACCTCCTGAAATTCTAATTCCTGAAATACTAAAACTTGTACTTCTAAAAATTATGAAAAATATTTTTATAATAAATCTATAATCTTTTCTCTTTCTTACATAATTTTTAAACATTTTTGCATTATTATAACTTTTTTTAAATGAGGAATTTCAATAAGCCTGCAAATGATTTTAATGGAAATGAGATTTTGACAATCTTCATCAAGGAACA